ACAGTTCGAGAGTAGATGATTGGACAGATGGATACCCTTCATTGCCGAGTGCTGGTTGCATCAACGGTGAACAGATGCACATAGATGCACCTCAGGAAGAGAGTGTTTCGTTGGGTTAACAGATGCACCCAACCACTTTTGAAGGTCCAACCTGCTTTTGCAGGGCCCATCGGGATCGCAACAACCGACCCTTTCCCACTTTTTGAACCGGGGCCATTCGCGCAATTCGTTGGTCACGGGCTGCGACCTGAAGTGCCTGTTGATTTGACAAGTGCTGAAGAGATAGATGTGAAGAGATAGAGATGTGCTTCCAAAGACCCTGAAGTCATACTCAGAACCTCCACTTTTCTACTTCAAGCAGATTTATGTACATAGATTTACCAGTCACCTCACCTGGGCATGGGGTTAAAATCAGCCAAGGTCCAGAGTTCTTCGTTCACCAAATCTTGAAGCTGGTTTGAAGTTTCGAGGTGAACCAGAGTAGAAAGGCCCCATCTTTCTGCCCCATCGAATCCGCCACGAAAGGCCCCATGCTGAACTCGCGCACGGGACCCGCGGCTCGTGGCGGCGACACAAACCGCGGCGCAGGAAGCTGCAGGGCATCTCTTCCACTACGAAGTGGACACCAAAAACCAGGCGCGAGAACCGTTCATGTTCGCCTGAGAAAACTTGTGGGATGGTTGTTCCTCAAGGTGCTGAAGCAGTGAGACGTGATCGGAAAGGTGCGCAGCCACCGGAAGTCAACCCAGTGAGAAATCAGGCCTCAGCGGTCCCAGACAGGATGGTCCAGGTGCATACTGCTCAAGAATAAACTTTGTTGTATGTGTTTGAATGTTCTTGATACTTGTTTATTGTTGTAAATCTTGCTGATCTGAACAGTGGTGCATCCAGGTGCATCCATCTATCCAGCCGGGGGAAGCAGGAACATGCATTGATCGACCACGGTTTCTTAGACTCAGGCGCGCGCTTGAGGTGAATCGGCCATCCTTGAAACTCGGCAACTTCAACGCTGGTTGAAGGACATCAATATTCAACACCTTCACAATCTGCACCAGGGAGTTTGGGTGGTTATAGACACCCTACAAGCCTCTGAATACATGACGTATACAACCCGTTCTACATGCAGAACCCTACAAGAGATCACAGTGGAATTCCGGCGGAGTAATGTCCCCCGAAGTAAACTTAAAGTTACTCCAGCGGAATTTCAGTGGGAAAAGAAAATCATGTCACAATGAGATTCTTCGGGGAACTTGTTACCAAGCTTTCTTCCTCCAAGTCAGTGTGTATGTTCCCTCCAATTCAATAACCGCCCTTGCCGTGTATTCCTGAATATGTTGTTCTTTCTATTAATGTGAAAAGTGGTTGTGCTCAAACATGCAGAGTGGTCGTTTCGATTGAAATCTTCCTGCTGACACCCACCTGAAGAAAACTGGTTCTTGGCTTTAAAACATCAACCAGAATATCAGTGCCGGTGAATCCCTGGACGAGCCCAATTAACCCGGAGTTTCCGGCTGTCTCAGCCGCGACACAGGTCGTCCAGGGCTTTGCAGTGCCCAAGGACGGAAGCAAGAGGCGCAACGGCCACGGGCACGCTAACAGGTAAGGTGACATTGACATGTCAAGACTCATGTACTTTTGAAGCAAAGGCTGAGCTTGTCAGGATGTTTGGTCAACCATGTGGGTGTGGGGAACCAAAGCTCACCCTATACATAAAGCTTGTGTTTGGGGAAGGACCTGGTGTTATAAAGTCTGGAATTTTGTGACACTTCCCCGCTGATCAACCATTGCGATCAGATGATCCGGGTTTGACTTGGACTGAGTTAGCAATGGCGTTCCAAACCTGTACACAAGAACAACTCCCCGTTCGCCCTTTTGAGTGGAAGGATTTAGACCTGACCGCCCGCGTTTTTTGCATTTTTGTCTCCATCACAGCGTTCCAGTCCTACGCAAGCGTTTTCTACTTTGCGTAATATCATACGCCATATTGAGCTTTTGTCAAAGCAACGCCTTGCCCCTGCATACCCTCAAACAGACGCTAAAAGTGTGTTGCAATGTGGCTTCCATGTTAAACATATAATGCAGATAATTCTTGCATCACCACCAATCCTTCGACGCACAAAGGAAAATGCAGACGTTCTGTATGCCTACATTTCTGAAAGTAATAGTAAGGTGGGTTACCACAATGACCATCCAGCCAGCATACCCCTGGGCCGTGCAGAATTTAACAGAAATCTCGTTTCAGCAACGTAACATCTTCCAGCAACGATTTCCCAAGAAACCTTGGGATCAAATCCAAGACATGTACCCGGATTAGATGCCTAATTAAACTGCAGACCCCCGAATTCATTCGCCATGTAGGTGCCTTTCACATATCCACTGCGGCTTAACCCAGTGATGTGCGTTGTTTTGCTGCAATGTGTTCTCCCAGGCTTCTGTTTCGCGTCGGTCGCGTGTGTCACATGGTGTAGTCTCCGCAGTTTCTGTACAACCCCCCCTCTGTACCGGGTCCTAGACCAAGGGGCGGTAAGGGGTCGGATTGAGTCCGCAAATGCCGTACCGTACACACCATGGTAGGTGGACATCCCTTATAGAGGAATCGCTTCATAAGGTCAACCAGGTTCCTACACACCCATGTGGGTGTTTGGATGTTCGACGTTTTGGAGGGTGATTCCTGGACTGCCCAGAATCTGAGGACTGCTTTGGAAGAAGTCCTTGGTGGGGATTGGTCACGGGTGGGTATTGACTGGGAATTGGGTCAACCAGGCAGGACCGTAGTTTCACTGCTGCTACCCCATTCTGCGCAGCTCTAGGTTTGTGGTCTCTCCGTATGAGGTCACCCGGTCACAGTCCAAACCCCCGGTTTGCTCACGAGCGAGGGCACGGTCACAGTGGAAGCAGCGCAACGATCGAAAGCTCCAGATCGAAAGCTCCAGATGGCCTGGGTCGCAGCTTTTCGTTCTCTTATTGTGATAAGGGTGCTGTTGTTCAGAGAATCCCAGAATATGAAGTGGAAATATTTATGACATAAAGTAAACAGTGGACAACGTGTTGTTGCGCCGTGGGTTGAAGAAGGACCTTGCCCTGTGTTGTGGTATGTTGTGGTCAAGTAGTAGCCCCACATTTGTAGCAATTGTTCGAAGCTTCAGTGGCCCTTTGGTTGGTCGTCACGAGCTGCGCGCGGCTGCTTGCGGAGGCCCAGCAAGCTAGTTCCAATTTGGAACATGGAGTGCATGGACTCAGCAACGCAGGGCACGGGAAATCATGGAGGTTCACCAGTTTCTCAACAGTGGCAAGGCTTTTGTTCGGGATGCTGAAAGGTGGCTGGGAAGACGAGTAAGTAAGGTCTGGTGTGACCACAAAGACTTTGAATTATATACTGAATACTGAATCATGTTGCCATAAGTTTCAGTGAAGTTCTGATCTTGAGGCGACCCTTGTCGTACAATGTTACAACATCGAAGCGACGGCGAAGAGTGACCCATCATCGGAACAGATCTAGCAGCCAGAGTGACCAATGGAAGGGTGTGGAAGTCGGTGGTGGTTAAGTGATGCTTGAAAAAGATTGAGATTGGGTGTTCACCCTCTGGCCTTTTCTTGCTTGGGCTGTCGCGCTTTTTGAACCAAAAACTGTAGGCAAGGCCCTCAAGGGTGTCCCATCTCTCTGATATCACCAAGTTCCGGCTCATGGACACTTGCAAATGGTTCCAAGCACTTGTGGAGGTGTTGGTCACCTACAGCCATTGATGGAACCAAGAGCTCGAAAGGCTATACGGTATATATAGGTGCTTTCTGGAGGGCTGTTCAAGTTTTCAGACATGCTCGGATTAGACTCAAAGATGTGTCGCGTTTGTCTGACTCCTGTTTATTCTCTCTAGTCTTCAGTGAGGATTGGGCAGTTGACCAGTGAATGTCAAGTGGCCTTCATTCTCTTTTGAGCCCTGAGCGCCCAAGAATGGTGCGATTCCCAACTGCAGCATGATCTACAAATCATCCATTTGGAGCAAGTTGGTCTTCTAGATCGACAGCAATTCCCCACATCAGAGCACTCCATCCCACAGAAGAATGCTCTGAGTGGGAGCGCTTGACAGAGTGTCCTAACTTTTGAATATGTACTTGAAGGTGGGGAAAGTGACACACCGTTGGCTTGATATCACAGCACTTCGTTTTGACTTCATGTATACCTTTGATGGACAGAGTCCTACACGAAGGATTACCAGGGACCAGGGAGGAAAGGAAATGTGGTTCCACCATTTGTTGAGTGGTGCAGGACGAACTTTCAATCAAAGGCACCACTCTTGCCATCCGTCCTTTGAGCAGAGGATTAACAACCATTTGATGTTCAAATGTACCAATTGGCTCCAGGTCTGTGCTACTTTGACATCAAATGACATTAAGAAAACACCACTTGACACTGATCATCCCCATGCATGGCATCCAACTTCGGCCTCATCACCCGTCTCATGAGTACCGCTAGTACTGCAGAAGTTCCGTCTCCGGCCCCGAAAGCCGGTCGGACCGAGGTTTGGCTCGCTGGGGGAGCGGATTTTGACCGCGGTCCGGGAGCCGTGGAAGACTGTGTTGTGGCCAATGCGCTACGAAAGGTTCGGCTTCTGTTGCCACAAAGTTCCGGTGTTTGTCCGACAACGCAAGACATGGGAAAAATACGTGGAACACACACCAAAGCTGAAGGCTGCGAACAATGAGGAATATGAATAATATGAATACAACAATCAGAGCAACATGTTTTGATGAGGTCTATGTGTTCTATGGTGGGAGGGTTGGTCGAACTTTGCGGGATGGGTTTGCGGGGGTGTTTTTGCGGATGGACCGTCGGACTGTCCATTCAACTCCAGGATGGTCGCCCACATCCCAGGCTCAACTAGCCTGTAGGTTGCAAAAAGCACACTACATAACCTGGGGGTCGATCGTTCCAAGGTTGATCAGGTTCATTCAACTTCGATGACATTCCCCTCGAAGTTGTGGGGTGACCAGGGAGCCGCCGACAGGAGTGTCCATGGGACGATCGATCCCCCTCCTGCCATGGATTTTGCTGATCGTGCGCCTCAGTGCGATCAGAGATGTTCTCAGTCCAGACCGGCTCAGCTCGGAGCCAAGAGGCATTCAGACTTTCAGAACAAAGGCATACAAAAGCTAATAAGAGGAAATGTTCACAACTCCCAGAACTGCCAAGGTTCGGAAAGGAAAGCACATTTAAGAGTCTTTCAGGATCCATGGTCCATTGTCTGTTTTCTAGGGTGCTTGGAAGTTGACTTTGTTGCCCTTCCCAAGTTCGGATTTTGCTGTTCATTGAACTATATTTCAGCACCTGCGTTTGACCTTTATCAGTTCCTGGCATGGCTTTGTGTGCATGACTGTCAGTAGATCATAGGTCGTGAGTCCAAAAAAGTATGCGTGGTGTAGTCGGCTAAAGGCGGTGTGTTTTGTGTGCAATCCAATTCTGGTCAGGGAAGAACAAGCTGACGAGCTGTGAGAAGGAGAAGGAACAGACGGAACGGCTCCTCAAATCGCTAGGCGTCGCAGGCGCTGTGTTTTAACAAGACTTGCAGCAACAAAGGCCCAATGTAATCAGGCTTCATCAGGCTCCATTGCAACTGAAGACGCAACTTAGCTCTGTAGTGAACTAGCAACTAGAGGTTGTCACCTGAGGTTGTCCACATGTTTTGCAGGTGAGTTTGCTGGTGACCACTGCACTTGGCCTGGCATCCGGTGCGACGATCAAAGCTGCAAAGTCGTTGAGTTTGAGTGCGACACATGCGTGGGCCGCCTGCCAGACAACATCGATCTCGAGCACCTAAGAAAAGCGGCTGGTCGAAAGAACCCGTACCCTAATTGCTGATAGGGAGCTGCATTTTGCCAGGAGCTGCATCTCCAAGAGTTGTGGAACCCATTTCGAAGGTTAAGATATATTATATATATATAGTGGGAACATGTTGCTTGCCCCTTAGTTCGACGTTGCTCATGGCGCCAGGTATACTTCGACCCCATTTATTCAAATGTCACTGGCAACATTGCAGCCTTCCAAAGCATGAAGGATCTTAGATCCTTGGTCTTGAGCCATTTGCTCATTGGAGGCAACATCAGAGCTTTGCAGTCAATATCAGAGCTTGAGGAGCTGGACTTGGGCCACACGCAGGTAGAAGGTGACATCCAGGTCTTTGCCGCAATGCACAACCTATATCAATTGGAGCTGCAAAATACTCGGGTAGAAGGCAGCCTAGAGATATTGAAGGCCATGCCACGCTTGGAAACCTTGAACCTTGCTGCAACAAGGGTCACGGGGGACATTTCGGCCCTCATTGCATTGGAAGACATCCGCGAAGTAGACCTCTCAGGCACCTATGTGTACGGGTTCATGACTGAGTCCTGGGCTGGGAAATGCCAGATACTTGAAATGCTGAATTTGACAGACACGCGCATAGGGTGGGCGCACGGAAGCTATCTGTATAGCAGAGTGGGCGCGTATGTTCAGAACGATAGGAAGGCCGACGACAAGCTAATTTTGCCGGCATTGAAGAGCATCGACCTGAGCAAATGTCCTTCAAACTTGAGCTTGAAAGTTGTATTTTGTTCTGCTTGGTGTGTGTGTGTGTTGCTGCCTAGAATAGGATTCAGTCAGAGGCCAGAGGCAATATTTTCCCTGGCCACCTGACTGCTTCCCAGGTGCCCGCCTCTACGTTGACATTTCCGATTTGCTTCTGATTTTGGGAAGGTGCGCAAAGTTGTCACAGATCAAAGCCAAAAACACTCCCGTGACTGGCAAGCTGGATTTCACACTGATTTCTTCATGGAGCCCTGCTTCCTTTGCCCTACAGACGCTGGACCTGGGTGCGACCAACATAACTTCCTTGATTTACGTACCCAACATGAAGCGGATACTTGTAGATGCAAGCTGGATTCAATCCCTCCAGGTGAGCACGCCTTTGTTAACAAATGCGGCGGCGTCAAAAACCATCCTGGACTTGACAGGGACTCACCTAGGCAACCCAACAGTTGCAGCAGGGCTTCTGGCCACTGGCAAACTGAACAGCACAGATGGGTTTGCCGAGCGCAATGACCAGCAGGGATTTGTTTGCAAAGAATTGGTCAGAGGGGGTCTTCACGTCACTCCATCAACGTTTTTGCCAGAAGTGCTGTGTAAGTGCCAACCCGGTTGGCATGGAACAGGAGCAAACTGTACCAAGTGCCCTGCAAACACCTGGAAAGCCGGATTTGGTCCAGAGGCATGTGAGCCATGCCCGCAGAACAGCACATCGAAGGCAGGGTCTAGTGAAATGACACAGTGCAAATGCGATTTTGGCGACCTCCAAGGCGGCAAATGCAGTTACTTAGATGTGGTATGATGGCGTTTAGCATGGTTCAGCTGTGTTTGATAGCCGTTTATTCTCTGGAACTTTCCCCGCAGAAGGCTTCGGACTAATCGTCATTGATATCGATTAATCATATCATATCATAGCATAATTACTGGCCTGGCTCAGTGCAGCAGGGCCATGTTGAGGGGTCTACTGGTATACAAGTTCATCCTATGAAACTTGCAAGGACGTTGCCTCGATAGATCAAAATACCAAGGTTGCAATGCGCAACATGGTTTACAAGACGACAGCTGCGTGCCATGTGCCAAGCGGAACTTACAATGCTATGAGCCTGGCAGTGTCCTCGCCACAGCAGTGCCAGAACAAGGGTATATACGTTTGCACTTTCGGGCCGAGAACGCGCACAGATGTCTTTCACCAGCAGAAGTGCCTCGGACAAGTCAGCCAATAGCAGATTGACAAGCAAAGTCATTAAACTAATACGGGTAGTATCGGGTAGTCTCAGCGAAGAGAAAAACATTTTTTGGCGTCAATCGATGTCAATGATGTGTGATGTGGCCTTTATCTTCATCAGCGACATGTTGATCCTGGAGAAACAGACTAGGTCCGGTGCTCTGGTGGTGACAACTGCACGCAAGGCTATAGCGGCATCCTGTGCTCGAGTTGTGCCGATGGCTTTTGGGCCACGGGAAATCGATGCCGGTAGCTTGGAAGTGAAGTCCTCGGAATCCAGTGGTGGATAAACTTTGCAGCTGGGTTGGTGGAATGAAATACACGTCACTGAGAATAGGACAATACAGGTTGTCTATCCTGGTTCAGAAAGGGTTCATCATTGGATTTTTGAACATGGCACGAGAAAGTATTGCTTGGTCACCACCTTGGTTGTGCGTGGATCAAGTCGCACAGACAGTGTCGGCAAATCCAACGGCGCCTGCCATCAGGAACTGCACTCAGACGAATTCAACATCCTTGTGGCTTTGAATTTGTTAATGCGTTTTTGTGAGTTCAACAAATGTCCCTGAATTTGCTCTAGCGAACTCAGCTCTGGTGCAAATCCAGACTCTGCATCACGATACATCTTGCAAGGGACTAAGCATAGCGCACTGCAGTTGCAGATGAAAGCCAATATGCTTGGTTTGGTTTCAATCATTCCGAGGACACTTGTAACTCTCTTGGCCGCTGCCGCCTTGCTTGTCGCGGTTTACCTCGGCTATCGCTGGATGTACCGGACAACGAGCGCGACTCCCCGGCTTTAGGTAGATTTGATCAGGAATTTTACACACATATATATATTATGTTGTTTAATCGAGTGCAAAGACACTGGAAAAAGTTGGGGCTTGGTGTACCACTTCGTGCATTATGGCTTTATGCAATCGCCAACGGCATGAGGATAGGGAGTTGTCTTGGGCAATGCCTTCACACCTTCATAAACATATTGTGTGGCAAAGTGAAACGGACATTTCATGGTAGCTTCCAATTCAATTCCAACCGCCCAACCCATTCGGCCAAGGTTGGCACGTTGCTACAGAACTTGATGCTGCTTCAAAGCCCCATCCTGTTGCAATTGGTTCAGCTGTGGAGCGTCTTGAGCCACCTTGGCACTCGCCAGTCGGGGAACAACCTACCAGAGATCCCATACTTAGAAGCTTGTTAGCCAATAGTCAAACCTTGAGCCGATGTGTTGCTTAGCGCCTCGTTGCGTTGATGTGTCCTTGCAACATCCACGCCACCACACCTGTCTCCACTGAGGAAGGCCTGCCACCTGGATTTGATTGGATTTGTGTACTGTACCAGTACCAGCTTTTTATATTTGCCCTGCCCTTCTTTAGGCGATCCACTGAAAAAAGATACACCGTTTGCAGCGTCCATGACACCCAGGCAATTGACCGCCACCGAGCTGCAGAATTCCATGAACTTGCAATGTGCTTTCGGCGGCAAGACCGTGCGCGCACTGGCGGCATTCAGCTCGCCCCTGGTGCCGTTAGGTTTGTGGCTTGGTCGAGTATGATTGTCCTTGACGGTCGGCCAGAAACTCAATTCTGAAAGACTACAATAGACTATATACTAATTTGATGTTTAAACTTGCTTAATCAGTGGTTCGGAATCGAATGAGGGGTAAAGAAGGTCTCTTTTGGTGTCGGGCAGTGCGGGAATATCCATCAGGCTCCTATGCTGCTCTACCTTGGAGATCTTTCGACCTGGCTTGGGTGTCTCTTGGCAGTTTGACAATGGTCGGCTATGAAGCGTTTTGCACGATTGTGAACTTGCTGCCTCTTTGGCGAGTTTCGTCGGCTTCAAAGCCACCTACAACTTGGAAGGGTTTGACCCTGGACCCAGTCGCACCATTCACAGGCGCTTTGTGGCTTGTGAGACACTGGCCATTGCCGTAAGGGTGCATGAATCATGCATGAATCATGCATGACTGAACCATGAGGTATGCCTGCGTATTGAGACACCTTCTTGGGAGATGGAGCAGAAACCTGCGAGAGAGCACTTAGGTGAACATGGCCTTGAAGACGTTGACCCTTTTCTTCATCGGTGGAGCTTCCAGCACGGCACAGCTGCTTAGCTGTCAGGATGTGGATGGAGGCACGTTGCCGATGCTGAACTTGTTTTGTCCGGGTGAAGTTAGAAATACCCAGCTACATGGCATATACTGTAAATCTTTGGTGGTTTAATCCTATAGGCAGAAATCTCACAGCACGCAAAATCATAAAATCCCATATGACTTCAAGACTTCCAACAGCTCACTCCCCAGCGTCGCCCAGACGAGCGACCCATCGGCATTTATGCCTTTCGCAGCGCCTTTCCGCAGCTTCGCTGCGCTGACCACAGTGGCCTCGCGTGGTGGGTGGATGTGGTGGGCTACAGCTGCGCCCTGGCCTATGGCGTGCTGATCCCCCTCTTCTTGGTGCCATGGCAGATGCATGGAGAGGTGATTTGGTTGGTGAACCACAGGGAATCCGCAAGTGACTGCCAGTGGATTTGGGATTCGGAGTTTTGAGGAGACACGTGCGAAGGTCAGGCGTGTGGAGCACTGGTGACAGTACACAAGAGGGCGGTCAGTTACACGAGAAATATATAGTAGAAATATCGTGTGTTTTTTGTGAGACAAAATACACCGATCAAGATTAAGCATGCCTCTATTCTGATCCTTGCCCGCATGTTCAAGCAACTGTGAGCGGATCGCCCCATGTACACACTCAGGCTGGTCTGATGGTGCGCCAGCAGCTTGCTCAGTCAGCATGTGTCCAGTCGCCGTGGCAACTTCATGGTTGGGCTACCTGCAGGTCTAAAGTCCTTTCAGGATACAGATCTGGAAAAAATAGGGTTACATATAGGATCTTATGGGTTACTTGTACATCTCTCGTACCCTACTTCTTGAGTCTGGCTAGGGCGCAAAGGGGTGCCGACTGTTCCGATCAACAGAGTTGTTTCACCAGAGTTTGCCATTGAACAATCATACTGGTACCTAGCATGGTAAACCATGGCAATCAACCTAGGTTTGCCATAGGTGTTGTTTACCTAGCATGGTGAATCGTTTCCAACATCATTCACTTGATGGAAGGGCGTTTCATCCAAGACTATGATCTGGAAATGTACAAACGGACAAACGCTACGCCGCTATTGGATATTGTTCTGCACATTGTGTCTTGGGATGTCGATGTGGGAACACTGCAAAACGCATGCAACCGTTGTAAAGCAATACAGGACGTCCTAATTTGGAATCAAAAAACCCCGTGAACCTGCTTGAACAGTTCTTTTGTAAAACAACTCAATGTGTGATGTGACACACCTGCTCCCATGTCGTTGATTTGCTGGGTGAGTCTGGGTCCATGCAGTCATGTCCATGGTCGTAGTATTCCGGTGTTCATCACTCATCACATGGTGCTTTTGCTGCTGGTGCTACACCCCGAGGCACTTTGCTCTTCAGGACGCTCGGCTCTTCTCTGCCTTCGCCATGGTGGAGCCACCCAAGACCACCATCCAGGTGAGAGCATTGGAAGGGGTGCTAAGCCAGGAAGTGCGGTCCGAGCGGTTGCTGGTGCCTTGTCAGCGATAAGGTCGAACTCATGGGCTCAAAACTCTTCAGCTGTTGTTCCTTCCAGAATTCAAATGAAGCCAACCTAGGCAGCATTCATATCCTGTGTGCATGCAACGCAACGTTTGTTGGTTGTGAGCGGAAAACATTCTGGGTTTTCTATGGTTTTCCTATTCCTAACGAGAGTGGAAGATGTTTTTGACGACGCACAAACCACCTGAGAACCAGTAACACATGCAGCAGAAGACCAAAACAATCCAACACATATCTGTGGCTTAGGTAGCGGCTGCTGCACATTTGGCAGTCTATTGCCGCGGACAGGTGGAGGTTTCTTTACAGAAGGAGGAAATTATTTTGACGTCACTTAGAGCCCAGCAGGGCGAGGTAGCAGAGGAGTTGGACCCGATGAAGTTGGTGGCGGACGCGAAGTCTTCCAAGAACTTGGACAAGTGTCTTGACTGCTTGGCCAATCACGGAAACGGAAATCGCCTGTGCAAGACGACTTTCCGTCTTCATGATTGTTGGATCGAGTGTAATCCTCCATAATTTTGGCGCATAGGCATTAGAAAGTCGCATGGACATGACGCAGACATGACGCAGATAGACCATGGGAAAAATGATGGAAAATGCAAATACATTTGCGAGAGTGCTGGTGGTAGCGATATTGTTCATGCTACGTTTATTGCAAGAGTGCCAAGTGAGCTTGGCCAGCTTCACACACTGAACACCGCAAGTGTCTTTGCGTAACATGGACACCCAAAATAAAACAAGAATATATATATATATATACAGTATACATATATATATATATATATCGGTTCTGTTCGGCATGTTCCTTTCGTTGGTTCCAAACCCATTCGGCATGGAAATGCTTGCGGGCAGCACCGTGGCACAGGTTGAAGAGCCGCAAGATCGTGGAGATGTTAACCGAACGGTTGATACTCCGGGAGACATCAGATCGGCTGCTGAAGGGTGCACAGCCGCAGCTTTGCAAGTACACCCTGGGTCAGGACCGAACAAACGTGCCCAAACGAACAAACCCTCAACGACTCAACTTCTGAATGACTCAACTGGTGTCAAAACCTTCCAAAACTTGTGCTTAAAAACGCCCTTCCAAGTCTTGCCTTTTCTACCTTAAGATGGGCAGGCTCATTCAGCACATGCAGGACCTGTGGATGGACGTGGCCATGAAACTCTTTGCGGTGGCATTGGTCTCTTGTGTCTCCATGTCCAGCGCATGGAAGTGGGCGGTGGCCATTTGCTTGGGCATGGCCGTCTTGGTTTGGGTCACCCACCCCTACATGCAGCCGCAGGTCCGGAAGATGGGATTGCATTTTAAGAACATTATATACATGCATATTGCATACATTATCTTTTGGGAGTGTCCTCATGCATGATTCGAGTCTTCCAAGCACCGGTCAATGGAAATCCAAAGAATAACAGGTAATTCACGTGCATTCAACCAAAACCTACTTCTAGATATACTTCGACTCTTGTGCAGCCCTTATGGTTTGGAAGAGGTCGGCACCCTGCAGAGCCTGAGCTGCTTCTGCCTGGCCTTGGCTTCGGTAGCCTTCGTTTATCCCTGCCCCTGGCTGGCACGCGTGGCCTTGATCGCACCTGTGCTGCTGGTCCTGCTTCAGGCACGCAACCAGATGAATTCAACTTTGGCACGCAACCCTTTGGCTGACAGTTTCTTGCTAGACTCTTTCCAAAACAGCTGGCCAACAGCAGCTATAGAGCGAGAAACCGAGTGGCATTATACTACAACACCACTTGCAAAGCGGAGTAGATGAACGAAAACCATTGTGGAACTTCATTGTGGCTAAGATGGCAATGATCAAGCGTTTTCTTAAGACTACAGTCCCTGCACAGAACTCTTGGTCAGGTGCGAAGCCCAGACTGCACAGAGGCTTTAGCAGAAAGGTGCTACCAGGAGACACTGTAGGATAGGTTTATGTTGATTGTGCGGTAGTGGAACTTAGTAGTGTGCATATTGCGTGTATATGTACTATATAGTTGTATATTTAGTTGCTAAATTTGTATTAGTATGTGGCTCTTTTGTGTCGGTGTTAACACTTGTTAACACTTGTCCAAGATTGCGTTTCTTGATGTAATGTCCTTCCTAAAAGGACTGCTGACAAACATTATGTTTGGGGACTCGACACATAAACAAGAGCCAAAACGAAGCTTCTCCATGCACCCACAATAGATTTCAACATAAGCCACGGAACATCGAACAACTATTTTCTTTTTGCAGGAAAGCATCTATTTGGATGTTTTTCTGAAGCAAGATTCAAGATGACCCCCAGGACTTGGAGAAAGCACTTCCGAAGCTTAAAGCAGGAAAAGCTCACGAGACTGGATCCGAAGATATGTGGAGTGAGTTTGGGTGGGTGTCATTTGTGTTCGCACAGCTGCAGAGGCTTGGAATTTATGTACGGTGCAGAGGGTAGCAACCATGAATGGTTTGAAGCAACCATGTGAATCAACCCAGGTCTATACATTCTTGGATTTGCATGGATTTGCTAGAGTCCTTCCATTTCTTCTTGTGCTTCGGGTGTGCTGCAGCCTTTTACGGGTCAAACGGTGTTTTTTCTTGGGCCAGCAGAGTGGTGCCAAGGAGATCCACGTGCAGTTGCTCCACCTCTGAGGCTCCTCGTGCCCCACTCGGTTTCACCGCCCAAGACGAAGGCCACAGCAGTCGAAGGCAGCAGTTTCCCCGGATCTTCAGCTGATCGCAGACCCATCCCGCCTTCGGAAAGATGCAGCGACTCTTCATGCCTTGTTTCGTTTTGGGAATCGCATGCCACAAGCACGTTCGTGCTGCCACAACGTATGAAGTGCACATGTGGGTTGACACGTTCTAGAGACATTCTTCAGAGGAGGTAATTAGTCGGGTTTCCCGCAGAAGTGCCAAACCACCTTAGAGCCATTCACCAGAAAACTAGAGAACTCACCCGCAGCACATGTCGTCGGCATTGGGAAAACGCAAGCAGAAACTGTGATCCACTGTCAGTGCAGGGCACCACCTGAATTGCATTCGGCTGAGACACTTCAAGTCCCCGGTGCATTTGCAGCCGTATTTTTGCACCGGACTACGTATACCGCATGTGTGCGGTTGGTGCGCTGCTGGTGGTGCTCGATCCGGTTCTTTAGTATCAACATGTGCCAGCCAAAAGAACAGGCCCCACAGTGATGTATGTGGTCGGGATGAACTTCAAACAATTGCTTTCTGGTTCTGGTCTTGGCGACGGCGACACCACAGCTGGACCCAGGCCACACCTCAGCATCGAAATTGGGATCATGTTCCTGTGCACATCAAAGGGGTGTGGCACTCAGACACCGAACGAATTGGGAGAAAGAAGAATCCTAGCCCATTCCACGGGCACTGGAGTTGCATTGTTGGTTTAATCCGATGTTATGCAATAAGAGAAGGGTGCAAATCTCTATGCAGCAAAGATGAACAACTATACTGGGTTGACAAGTTCACGAACCTGGATGCACCTGATCCCATATCTTCCAGAGTCTGAAGGTGATTGTGCAAGCAAAAGAGACCTGGTGGTTTGTTTTGAAGGATATTTGGCCTGCGTGCGAACTGGCACAATCATATTCAAGGCCAATCTGTTCAATGTTGGATTTCTATGTGCATGGTGTATTGACATTGAGAAGACCCTGAGAGCACATGAATAATCAACAGCGGTGTCGGGCCAACACCTAAGTTCACATTCGGAACAGAACGGGCGACCCTGGGAATTTTCACTGGGGTTTATACAGTTTCATAGTCGTCTAGAGTCTAAAGTGTGTTTGACCCGTTGGCATGTGAGGGATGATCAAAGTCAACTGTTCTTCGAGAGCACAGGGGAGATATCAAGTTTACCTCTCTTTTATCCCAATCACCCCCCGAAAGAACAAGAAGAGTTTCGGACCGCGAAAAGAAAGAACATCACAATTCCTGCTGATTGTTTGCCTGACAGGATGCCAGCATCCTCTACAAGTACATCAATCCAAATCTCTTGGCCATAGCATCGGAGGACGATCAATCGTCGGCAACTCCGTCAAACGTGCCTGCGGCCTGCGACTATAGTTTTCTTACTTTTGTATGCTTTTTGAAAACATACAGACAGTTGATTGCTTTGCTCTGTTTTTTGTGTTTGTGTGTAAAAACGCATACAGTGCTTATTGATATTGGCCATGGGTGAATGTTGAACCCCTTGACAAAACACGTTGCAGCAACCCCTGCTGGTCAACGTAAACCTGACCAGAGCTATCACTGCGTAAATGAGTTTTGCGTGTTCCTGCAAGTTTTTCTAATTGGTTTAGGGTTGCACCGAAGGCATTATCTTAGAAGTCACTGTTGAGAACTCGACACAGGGGTATTTGACATAGGAAGACACCGATGCTGCTTTAGTTTTGCAATTCGAGCAACTAATCAATGACGTAATACAAGATGATTTTGAATTGGTAGCACGCTATTCCTCATACCTAGATGCTCGGCGTCGCCTTCAAGAGAGGACTTGTGTATCCCCCGAATCCCTTACATTCTGCGAATTTCGAGAGGGAAAAATTAGACCATATACCTTCCGACTCAGAAACATGGAAGTGGAAAGCCACCTGTTTGTAACGGAAAATGGTCTTCCAGCAGCTCAATCTTGGTTCAATTCGCCTTCCATGTTAGTGAGTCAGAGTGATTCAGAGTGTATAAATAGAAAATCCTTAAGACATGAGAATATATGAGAAGTACACAAGAGACACACGACACAGCACACGACATGACACAGCTCTTGGTCGCACTGCTTTCCAGTTCACCCCGTTGCACAGCCATGGTAAGCCCAGACCATGAGGAAAACGCTCCAAAGCTGAGACAAGACCATGAGGGAAAGCCCTGCAATAGGTTTTTGGGTTGATGCGGGAAACCTTGACTTTCTACGCAGCGTGCAGTGTAGTTGATGAGTTCATTCCCCAACTGGACCAAATATACAAGTCCGATCGCGCATGCTCATGCGCCAGCATGCGCATGCTGGCGCATGCGGAAGCATAGCTAGGACAAGCAGGGCCTCAATTTGTACACCTTGGACGCGGTCACGGGTCACCTCCTTCACCAAAGTCCGGGCGTCACGGATGCGCCACGAGACGGATGGGTTCACCGGACGGCTATGGCACTCCCCCCACCGGGGGGGGTTAGCTCAGCGCGGCATGTGGGGGTTAGCTGGCGTAGCTCAGTCACTTTGCGCATACTCTAAGAAGGCATATTTCATCCAGGACAACAGTAGGATACATTTTTGGGGGACATATGATGGGAAGTTTCACAATTAAGGGTTTTTAAGTTATGACTTCATCCCGCTTTGGGATTTTAAGCTATGGAAGTGCTCCATCTATAGTAGCCAGCTAAAGATGCCCACTCTTGG